AAGTCAGGAGTGTTTTCTCAAAGCATCCACAGCCAGCTCCATCCATGGGCAAGAAAGCAACTGATTTATTGAGTGTCATCATCTCCTGCTGTCTGCAGGAGACCACCGAGGCTGGACGTGGAAGTTTGGGCTCTGAAGATGGTGGAATATCCCCCGTGTGATACAACACCAGGAGGGAAGGGAAAGGGGAGGAAATATCCTTCCAGAGGGATGATTTTAAAGCTGGAAGTTCCTTCCCCTCCTGAAAACCAAACCCAGAGCTGAGGGTGAGGTGTCTGCACCTTCCTTCTTCATCAAATGTTGAATGGAGCCTGTTCCAAGCCAATGTTCCTGTTCTTGCCCCAAGAAGAGCTGGAAGCTGGGCTGATGGAAACTGTGAAAGCAGCAGACAGCAGCTGAGGGGGGTTGGGGTGGTCCTCCCATGACTCTCAGGGTTTGGGGGGCACTGAAGGACTCTCCTCGTGCACCTCTCCCACCTCCAGCAGAGAGACCTGGCCGAGCTTCCAGAACAGCTCTGCTGGGGCTCAGGATCTGACAGACTCACTCCTGGTGGGACCTCTCTCCTTCCACACGTGTGCAAGGAGGGGAAAGGGCCCCAGGAGGCAGCTCGTGGTGGAGATGACACCCCAAAATCAGGCTGCTGAGCTCCCTCTCAGCAGCCTCCTCGGGGAGGAGCTGCCAAAAGATGAATAAGCAACGCTCTGTTTTTCCCCCCTGAAGCTGAGAAATCTGCAGGGGAGGAAGTTCTCCTCTCTCAAGCTTGGGAGATGCAGCCCAAAAAGCCACCCCCTTGGCATCTGCTCTGTCTTCCTGTTGTCAAGCCCAGGCAGCAGCAAGCCCCAGCCAAGGAGCTCCCAGGATCTCTGTGTCCCCATGGATTTCTCCATGGTGACGTTCCTCAGCTCAGGAGACCTCAGTGCCTGAGGTTTTACTGCCCAACTCAGCTGGACACGTTGGTGCAAGCACCACGAGGTGCTCCTCAGCACCCTACCAACAAGCTGGGGTGCTCTCCTGCCTTCCCAGGAGAGGCTCTTTCTCAAAGAAAGCCCCCCAAGAAGGTGTCTTTGCACGAGGAGGTCCCCCCAGCAGCTCACCACACACCTCCACGGAGACCATGCCCACACAGGTAGGCTTGTGGTGGGGCTCATTGTCCTTCTGTTGAGGTTTCACCTCAAGGACCAAGGGTTTTGCCCCCGTGGAAGCACTCACCCAGCTTCCTCCTCTCCTCAGGGTCCTGCAGCAGGACACGGAGCGATGGTCCCTCTGGCATGGTGACATGGAACTGGAGAAAAGCCTTCTCCTGCTCTGGCAGTTCAGCATCAGAGGTTGCTGCAGGAAACACACGGGTGGGGATGGGTTGATGGAGAAGTCAGGAGGCTCTTCAGCCACCCAGAGCCACGTGGCAGTGGGGACAAGGGGACCAGGAGGCCACAACCAGGCTGACGAGGTTCTACCAACTTCAGCAGCAGCTTCTCCTCACCCAACCATGGCCTGCCATGACCCACCACTGATGGGCAGAGGGATGAGTTGGCACTGCCAAAGCTGCACCAGCCCAGTGCAGGAGTTGTCCCATGCCCAGCAGAAGCACCCAGCTCCTTTGCCTCCTCCCCTCCTGGAAGCAGGATGGAAGTCAGGACCCTTGGGTCTTCCTCACCTAGAGCTTGGTGACATGGAGCCAAGTCAGACAACCACCAAAGCCCAAGAGCTGGGCAGATTGAGGCCTCAAAGGAGAAGCTGAGGTGGATGGAGCTCCTGCAGGTGCCCCAAGCACCACGCTGGGCTCTGAGCATGTGATCTTTACACTCTTGTCTCCAGCCAAAGCTGCTCAGAGAGGTGGTGGAGTCTCCTGCCCTGGAGAGACTCCAAACCCACCTGGAATGTGATCCTGGGCACCCTGCTCTAGATCATCTCCAGAGGTCCCAACCATTCTGTGATTCCCTGGGCACAGAGTGTGGTAAGAAGCAACCCAGAAAACTTGGTGGACCTTGTTGGTCCAACTGGAAGGTCCCAAAGGCTGGTGAGCACCTTGGGCAGCATCCAGTGGGCTGGGAACCAGCAGCTCCAGCAGCCCTGGGAGGTTCAACATGAAGCACAAGGTTCTGGCCAGGTTGGTCAGGTGAGGGGACATGTGAGATCTCAACAGCATGGTCTGGATGGAGCACCCAAAATCAGGCATCTCCTGCCAATCCATGTGTCCCACAGCACCTCAAGTTACTAAATGAGGTGAAGAGCCTCAAAATTTTAGGGGACAGAGTTGTCCCAACCTTTGCAACCCCCTGCAAACCCATCTCCACCACCATCCTCTGCTATCTCTGGCCCCAGCCCCATGACACCCAACTCTCTCCCATCTCTGGAGCTTTCTCCTCCCTCAATCCTGCTTCTAGAAGCAAAGGAGGTTGGCAGCAGGATTTTGGGCAGGCTCTGGAGAGGAGGAGGAGGAGGCTGGGACAGCCTGGCAGCCATCATCATCACCACCAAGAAGTCCCTCAGCCCATCTTCAGCCAAGGGGTGGGGTCAGCACCACGACGTGCATCTGCTGCCCAACCCCCAGATCTTCTGGCTGCCCCAGCGTGGCTCAGGTGGAGGTTGGTGATGGGCCAGATGGAGATCATGGGTCACATCCTACATCTCCATGGAGCCACATCAGCCCAGCTCTGCCACAGCCACACGTACCCTCAAGCCAGCACCTCACCACCCTCAGATGTCCAGGGCAGGTGGCCACCAGGCTGGCAGTCAAATTCCAGTAGCCCAAGCCAACTTCTCCAGGATATCCTGGGAGGTTTTTTTTTTGGGGGGGGGTTGTTTTTAGTTTGGGAAGCTCTCAGCTGGCCCACCACAAAGATCAGGTGCCTTGGAGGACACCTGGCTGAAGACACTGGCACACGTGGTCAGTAGGGGACCCACCACCACCCACAGAGTCTTGGTTGGGGTTTGAAGGGACATTTCAAGGCCATCTGGCCCAACCCCTGTAGGGACAGGGACATCCCCAACTAGAGCAGGGTGCTCAGAGCCTCATCCAACCTCACCTGAGATGGTGCCAGGGATGGGGCAGCGACCACCTCTTGGGGAAACCTGTCTTGGTGACCACCCAGCCTCAAAGGGGACAGCAGAACATCCCTGAACCACCAGGTTTTGTGTCCATCTACCCTGTGGATGTCCCCTCACCTCTTTGTTCTCCATCCCCTCCCAAAGGTGAGGGCATCACGTGGACCCACCACTCCCTTCCAAGCTGTAGGACTCACCAGGGCAGTCACAAAGAGCAACGGCAGCAAAGTAGTGGGAGAGGGCTTTGAAATGCTCCGACTTGACGTGGACCATGGTGGTCCAGGAGAAGGGAACGTAGTCCTTCACGTGGGCCTGGCTCATGGTCTGGTGGACCAGCGAGTAGACATCTTCCACCTGTGAGATGTCAACAAGACAAGCTGTTCAAGCCACGGGTTGAGATGGAGGATGACCACCAGGAGGTGGTGACAGCAGGTTGTCCTCTCCTTGGGGGGGGTTCTGCTGACCACAGGAGTCTCTCCAATGGTGCCAACCCCATCAAGTCTTCTCCTCTCCAAGCTGCTCACCTTTGCTGCCTCCTGGGCGAGCTGCAGGCGGGCGAGGAAGTCGTGCTGGGCACGTAGCAAGGTCATCTTCTCAAAGACACACTCCTGGACCTGGGCCACCATCAGCTGCACCAGCATGGTCAAGGAGGCGGCGCTCATGTCCAGGCTGGGAGCGTTGGAGAAGTTCTCCTTCAAGTAGTTAAAGGCACCTGCACGAGGGACAAGGTCCTGGTAGCCACCGGGCTCGTCAGAAGGAGGGAAAGTTTTCAGACCACAAAGGTTTCCCAACCAGCAGGGCAGGAGAAAAGCCACCAGTCTAGCTCACCCATCAAGCTTCTCACCATAACTGGTGGGTAAAAAGGTTGTGGGTCCTTCCTTGGCTATCTAAACCATCCTTGTGCCCACAGCTTTCTTCTCCAAAGCCCTGGGTGACCACAGGGTGAGGATTCCCATCCTTCTCTAGCTCCTCACAGATGGATCAGCATCTCTCCTCTCCCCAGCTGGGACATAAGGGTTCCAGAGCACTGGAACAGGCTCTCCAGGGAGGTTGTGGAGCCTCTTGAAGACTGCTAAGACCTGTCTGGAGGCGTTTCTGTGTGGCCTGCCCTAGACTAGATGGTCTTGCTCTGGCAGGGGGTTGGACTTGATGACCTCCAGAGCCTTCCAACCCCTAACATTCTGTGATTCTGTGACATCCCTACTGTCACGTGGCAAGAGAGAGTCCTTTGGGTGGCTCTTGGGCCATCCCACCTCCTCCTCCTCACCCACAACGGTTGCGTGAAGTCAAGCTGAGCTTGATTTGTGTCCCCTTGGAGATGCCTTGTGCCCATCCCTCTCTTCACAGCCCCTCCCTCCCTTTTGAGGATTATTCCCACGTGGTGGGAAGCTGGAGAAGGGGAGGAGACACCTACCAGCTGCCTTCTGGAAGGCCTCAATGGCCTGGTTGAGGCCGGGCAGGGCCGCGCGGTCCTGCCGCGCCCCGATCTGGGTGTGCAGGGCTCCCATGTTGAAGAGCACGCTGCCCTTCTCGAAGGCCAGAGCCCTCTGGTGGGATGGGACCCCCGTCAGGGAATCGTACCTGGAGGAAGGAAGAGTCAACCCCTGCCCATCCTGAGGTCCTCGCCCTCCAGGAGGAGCTCAGAGGGTTTTTGGAGCTCCGCGCGGGCTCGGAGGCACCGTTCCCATCGTGGTTCATCCCTCCCTTTCTTCATCAACCTTCTCAAGCTTCTCTCAAAACAGGCACCTTCTCCTTCTTCTCTCAAGAGAGGCACCTTCTTCTTCTCTCAAGAGAGGCACCTTCTCCTCTTGCCTCTCTCAACCCACCCAGGGCAAAAGCCAACCCAGCTCCTGGTGCCCACCACCCCCAGCTTAGCAGCGGTCCCACCCGGGCTCGGCCCCCGGCTCCCTCCCTCCCTCTCCTCGTGATGCCCCAAGGGTGGGATGGAGAAAGCTGCACCAACCAGTGGAAGAAGACACCCAGGCTCCTGTTGGGAGGGAAGAAACGGCTGTCGAGGAGGTGGAGCTGGTTGTAGTACTCCATGAGGAGCTCCAGCCCGGCCTCGCTGCGGCTCGGGGTGCGCATCGCCTGCGGGGAGGGGAGAGGGGACAGGGGGGTGGGAGCAGAGGGGTGAACAGAACCCCAGCATGATAAGGGTTGGAAGAGACCTCTGGAGATCACCCCCCTCCTAAAGCAGGGTCACCTAGAATAGATTTCCAAGGGTCACAGCCAGGTGGGTTTGGGATC